TAAGCGCAAGGTCCCAAGTTCGATCCCCGGTACCAAAAAAAAAAAAACCCAAAAAGAAAGAGAGGAAACCAGAATTAACCAGTCCATCAACAAGGGCTACAAAGATTTTCTAACTTTTAATTTTGGATGTGTTGACTAAAAGTAGTGGATTAGCATCATTCACATGCCTCAGCAAGAACATTTGATTTTTCTAAGAACAAAGCATTTGTCACAATAGCCGGGTGGTGACTGCCCTCAGAGGGCCCTAGAGGAGCCCGGCCACCGGGGGGCAGCAGTGAGGCGCTCGGGCTCTGGGTCTCTTGAGCTAAGCCCTCCTTCAGACCTTAACTGCCCTTCCTCTCCCTCCTCAGCTGTCCAGAACAGCCCTAAGGGTTGCCACCGGGACAAGAGGACCCAGATTGTCTACAGTGATGATGTCTACAAGGAAAACCTTGTGGATGGCTTTTAGGGAGGGAAGCTGGATTCCTTGTGCCTCGCATCCCCCACTGCTGGTCTCAGTCTCACTCAGTAAAACACCGGGGTGGAAGCTCACACCTCTTCCTCGGCCTCTGGTTTTTCAGCACTTGGGATCTGGGTTAACCCTTTAAAAACAGCTGTAGGAGCTGACCTCAGTGGTGATTCAGCCAGTGCACACCCCACTCCCACCCCAAAGGATCTTGGAACACAGTGACTATCGCAGCTGTTTTAATTCCATCCCAAGCCCCTTTCCGGCAGGAAACGCTTTACAGGAAACCCAGGTCCTCATCTCTGAGCTTCTCCTTGAGCCAGGGCAGCACTTGGAAGAGATTGACGTGAAAGTCCCGGGCGTGGGCGGGCACCTGCTGTTGCCGCTTCTGGTCATAGCAGACGTCCACCACGCCCCAGCTGATCACGCCGACCTGAGGGGAGGGCCCGAGGACGCCCGCTCGGAATAGTTCTTCCTGGTGCTGGGGCCATCTGCGCTAACCTGGAGGAAGTAGGCTAGGTGCCCCATCCTCCCTGGTCCCCCGTGACCCTGAACTGGCCAGGTCAGGGACCTGCCCTGAGGCAAAGCAGGCTCTGCCTCCTCCCACCCCCCGGCCGTGTGCATTGTGCTCCTGCTTTGGGGTCTGTGCCCACCTCGGGGCTCCCCCCAGGCAGGAAAGGGGGCACTCACTTGGATGAAGCGACTTCTCTTGTGAATGATCAGAGGGCCACCGGAGTCCCCTGCAGGAGAGAGAAGCGGTAGGGACAGGAGCGCTGGGCCTTGGGAACTTGCAGCCCCGCCAAAGAGCCTCCTCACCTTTGCAGGTGTTAGGGTCAGCATAGGGGTCCACTCCACCGGTGCACAGGAACCTGGGGGTGACCACCTCGTAGATGTCCTTGACTTTGTCATAGCCTGGCGCGTACTGCGCATCCCTCTCGCAGCTGGCTTTCTGCGGGGAGAGGGGATGACAAGATTGGCCAGGGCCTGGAGCGCCTCCTGCTTGGGACCCCCATGCTCACCTTCTCTCCATTCTTGATGTAGACCTCCTTCCGGGTCAACTTCTTCTGCTCCTCGGAGACAAACAGCGCTTTGACGTCCTTTGCAGGGAGCAGCTGTTCCTCTGGACGGGGACAGACTGGGTTACACCAGCTGCCCCCTTCTTCCCTACTGCCTGTCACCCAACACATGTTCCTCGAGTATTTCCTGTGACCCAGGCCAGGAGGCTCTGTTACCATGGAAAGCCCTAAGGCTTGCCATGATCTGCGCAGAGGGGCATGGTCTGCGCCTCCCACGGCTCCCCCTGGCGTCCCACACGCCGCCTCCATCCCAGAATGTGCCTTACTGTGTTGCTGGCAAGTGGCTGTCTGAGGAAGCCGCAGAGCTCGCGTTGTCCCCTCGGTGCAGGGGAGACAGATGGGCCTGGCAGGGCGTGCGGATGGTCACAGCCGGCCCCTCGCCCCGCCCCGCCCACCCTCGGCCCAGAGCCTCTCACCTGAGCGTCTGGCTGAACTTCAGCTTATACTTGAGCCTGACCAGAGCGACGTCGTAGTCGTAGAACTCGAGGATCCCCTGTTCCTTCTTCCCATTGATGTTGTACTTGGGATGAAACAGGACTTCTTCTACCTCCAGGTCCTGCCTCTTCCCTCCTGAGGGGAGGAGAGCGGGCGATGCTTTTCTGCGGCACCCTCCTGCCTCTGGCTCAGAGCCGTCCGTCCGTGACCTCTGGCCCCCCTCCTGCTGCCCAGGGTGAGGGTCAGGTGAGGGGTGGCCGGAGCGCAGGGCCCTGCACCTTACCCACGTTGACCTTGATGGAGTGCCGCTGGTCCTCTACGGTGAAGCAGTGAGCTGCCGTCAGCACGAAGTACTCGGACACCACGGCCCCCATGCAGTGCTCGTGTCCTTTCTGCGGCCTCTGGGCGCGGCACGGGGAGGGGAGGTTCAGCCCCACAGGCCACAGCCTGCTGTGGACATTTCCCCACCTCGCCCCCGAGTGCCCAGGCCGGGACGCCGAGCTTACGGTGATGGAGATCTTGGCCTGCCACGGCTGCTTGTGGTAGTCTGTCCCCTTGCTGTGTTCCCACACCATGCCGCAGAGCCCCAGCGACTGGCTCTCATCTGGCAGGAAGGGAATGTGTTGAGCTGGGAGACTTGGTTCCCAAGCAGCACCAACCATTCCTGCGGGATCTCTGCATGTCAAGCCATGGGAGGAAAAGGCCCAGGGCATTTGCCTCCTCCTGAGGGCACAAGGGACCACTGTGGTGTGGTGAGAAGAACTTGGAACTGAGAGCTCGGAGGTCCAGTAATTTTCAGGCCCAGACCTTGCTGGCTCACTGGCTCTCGGCCTCAGTTTCCATATCTGGAAAATGAGGCGCTGAGAAAGGTCTCTGCAGTTCCTCAGAGCTCCGTGGTTCTAAGATCAGCAGGTGAGAGTTCCGGGGAGCAAGAGCAGTGGCACAGGTTGAGGGGAGGAACGGGAAGGGCCTTCCAGACTGCGGCCTTCAGGCTGGGAGGGAAATGGGCGCCTGCAGGGGCCCTCGGGACAGCTGAGCTCCTGACAGTCTCCTGCGCTTGGAGTCCTTCCTACCGATCATTTGGAAGAAGACGTCCTCCAGGTTCTCCATGTCCTTGACTTTGAACACATGTTGCTCGTTGTCCTTCTTGGAAGCCAAAGCATTGATGTTTGCTTGGTCCACCAGGGGCCCAACCCCAAACACGTACACGTCTGTGGGAGAGAGGGCAGTGAGCCCCCCGCCCAGAGAAGCAGAGCGCTGGGTCCCGGGCAGCCCCTCACCCAAGTAATCCTCCCGTGGGTTCTTGCGATCTCTGCCAATGTCCAGCAGGTCCCGGATGTCATGGATGACGGTGACTGGGTCCCCGCCCATGTTGTACAGGCCTGCGGAGAGACAGGGACCGGACCGTGAGGGTGGCAAGTGAGGACGAAGAGTCGGCGAAGGTGACCGGGCCCAGGGCAGTGACACACTGCTAAGCGACGGATCACGGAGGGCCGGGAGCGGGGTCCTCCTGGTGAAGGGCCGCGGGAGACCCCCTGCCCACTGTGGACACGCTCCGCCCTGCTCAGGGGTGGGGTGAGATCCCGGACCCGCTGACCATCGGTCATGATGATGATGACGTGACGGGTGCGGTTCCAGCCTTCGGGAGGGGCGGCCCCTTCCCAGCCCATCATGCTGTACACCGCCTGGAGGGCCCTCCTGGTGTTCGTGCCTGTCTTTAACTTGTGGTCTGTGGAAAGAGAAGAGGCGTCCCCTCCCTTGGTCTTCCGCACCCCCAGCCCTGCAGCTGTCACAGGTGGGGCCCTGTGTTCCTCCGCTGTGCACTGTGCGAGCAGATCCGCAGACTTTCCTTCTCCCTCCCATCCAACCCTGCTGTGGCGCAGCCTCCTGTCTGCCCCGCAGCACCCCTGAGCGTTCTGCCCTCTGCAAGCCCCTCAACTCCCCCTCCTCGACTGCTGACCTTCATAGCTGACTCTGCTGAGCTGCTCCATGACCCAGTCTGCATCGCTGCTCCTCTCCTGGGACACTCGGACCAAGACGTTGGGCTCCGTGGCGTACGTCACCAGGCCGTACCTCGGTCTCACCCCGTAACTCGCCACCTGTGAGCGGGGGGAACGAGACACCACGGCATCAAAAGCAGACTGTGGGTGGGAGGAGCTGGCACCTTTGCTGGGATGGAAAAGCCACAGTGAAAGGCTCACGGGTTGAAGTCCACGGAAGAGACTGCTAAACATCGGGATGCTGCTTCACATAGAAAGGGAAGGACACAGACAGACCGTACGGTGCTCCCTGTGGTTCAGAGGGACTCGGAGTACCAGGGAGTCAGTCTGGGAAGGCCAAGGAGGTCCGCTCAGTGCCCCACATTACAAGGGAGGGGGACCCCACCTTCTCGATTAGGTTGGCCAGGCACCGCTTGGCCCCTGTGAAGTTGCTGGCTCCAATGCTGTCTGACCCATCCAGCACCAGGTAGATGTTCATGGAGCCTGAGGGGTCCAGGACGATCTTCCGCTTCTGTTGCTCCCCTGAGGGTCAGCGGAGAGACACAGGCTCTGACATGCAGGGCTCTCCTGCTGCCCGCACCCTCCTGCCCTCCCTGCCCATGTTCCCTCTCTGCCCTCAAACCTGGGCTATGCCCATCCTCAGCATCGACCCCTTCTATGGTCTCCGTCAGGGAAGACAGGAAGGCTTCAGCCACCTCTTGAGGGGTGTCGTACATGAAGGAGTCTAGGAGAAGCAGAAAGTCAGTTCAGCTGTGCAGAGGGCCAAGAGCGCAGTGACCAGAGACGGGGGACAGGTTCCGGGCTGGGACGGGCTTGGACAGAGGAAGCTCTCCCGGGAGCTGTGGAAGGAGTGAGAACAGAGCTGGGGTGAGCCCAGAGGGAAGCCGGCGCCCTGGTGTGGGGACATTAGGATGGGAGACCGGGTCACCTTGGCAGGAAGGCTCCGTCCCGCTCCAAGAGCCGCCTTCCTGGCATCTGCGCTGGTCGGAGCCACGCAGCGTGAGCCCCCTGCTGCAGTAGTAGGTGACAGTGTCTTCCAGGCGGTACTGGCTGCCCACCTTCCTTGTGCCGATGGGGGTGCCAGGGTGGGGGCAGTACGCCGCTGCCGGGCATGAGACACGGAGCTGAGCACCAGAGTCTGAGTCCCCGAGGGCGGGGCAGAGGGCAGAGCCATGGCGCCCGACCTCAGGGCCGGGGGACGGGGCACGCGCCTCACCTCCATCGTCACAGATGGCCGTCTGCCCATCCCACCGGCCGTTCCCTTGGCAGGTGCGATTGGCAGAGCCCCGGAGAGTGTACCCGTGGTAGCAGCGGAAAGAGATCTCATTGCTCACATTGTAGTAGGCAGCCCGGGGCCAGTAGTCCCCGTTCTCAAACTCCTGGGGTCTCGGGCAGCGGACCGCTTTGGGGAAGAGGAGGAGTAGAAGCCGTCAGGAGAGGGCTGCCCGCACAGCACCCCTCCTGTAGGGGCCCTGTCACCGAAAAACAGTGCCCTCCTGGTCCCACAGCGGCCCCACTGCTTCTCCCCCCCCCCATCCAAGCCTCATGTTCGCTGCCAGCCTCCCCGGCACTGGGCAAAAGCTTAGTAAGGGGAGCTCCCCCGCACCCCCAGAGCTGCTGCTACCCTTGGCCCCAGCCGACCGACCTGCTACTCTGGACACAGCCCTCCTCTCCACTGAGGGCCACCTTGACCACCACCTGCCCTGTCCCTCCCTGGCCCAGGGCCGAACCTCTGCACTCCGCCTTCCTGACGACCTTTTGGTCTTGAGTCTTCAGGGCGCTCCAGGACCCTGAGGACCTGCAGGTTCGAGTCTGCACAGGAGAGGGGTAGAATCCAGAGGGACACAGGTACTCCAGGGCCTGGCCTTCTCTGAGAAGTTGGAAGGAGCCGCCTTTGATCTCTACGCCCTCCAGGGAGCAGGGGCTCCGGGGCAGGGCCTCGGGCAGTGGAGTCGAGCTCACACCTGAAGAAAGAGGCTGCTGAAGCCGGGCCTCCATGCCCGGGAGGGATGCTAAAGGCAGCAATGGGGGGAGGTCCCTTCGCTTACCTCCAGGCCAGAGCCCCAAGACTAAGGGCACCAGGCAGAGCCAGCAGCAAAGGCTGCGCCCCATGGCCACGGAAGGCAGGAGAGTCGCTGGAGCCAGGGTCGGGAGCGCTTCTCCAGGCTCGCCCTGTGCGCCTGCTGGGCTGAACTGCAGACCCAGATCTGGCCGCCTTCCCTTCCCACCTGCCACCAGCCTTTTATGCAATCTGTTCTGGCACCTGGGCTGGCCCTGCCTCCCCTCCACAACCACTTTCTCGGAATCTCCAAGCAGGAGGGCCCCACAGAGCTGCCAACGGCAGAAACAGAAACTATCCAGGCCCCACCCTTTGCTCCCCAAGGCCCAGGACTCCCCGGTCAGCCTCTCCTCTCAGACCCCGGGTCTGCCCCCGCCAGCTGAGACCACCCAGAAACGCCCGGCCCGTTCCCAGGGACTGTGTGACAGGGCAGAGTCCGGCCGCTGTTTGCCCGGCAGGGTCTCTGACCTTCCTGGAATCATTCTGGCTGCCCTCCCCCAAGCAGAGGCACAGACCGATGGAGAAATCTTAGAGTTTTATTAATTTTACAACTGGGAAATTCCATGTGAAGGTGAAAAGGATCACACTGGGCAGGACTTGAGCCCGGGCCAGGCAGAGAGGGGGCAGGGCGGTGACAGCAGCACCAGCCCAGGAGTCCCCGCTCTGCTGGGCTCCTGGGGCCCTGGCTTTCGGCAGCTGGGAGCACACATGGCACAGGATCTAGGGGTGGACGTGAGGGGTGGGAGATGGGGAGACAGCAGATCCTGGCGGTACAGCCGAGGGGTCAGGGCCCTGATTAAAGTGGCAAAAAGTTCAGGACGCCATCCAGGTGCTGCCTGAGCCAGGGCTGCAGGCTGAAGAGACTCGTGTGGAAGTCTCGCGGCGGCGGGGCACCTTGGGGAGCCTTTCTGCGCACGCTTTTGTTGGGAGCACCCTGGCAGGGGTCGTAAAGGCCCCAGCTCACCAGGCCCACCTGGAGGAGAGGACAGTGTGGCATGGGGCACACCCGGGTTCCGAGCCTGGCCCCCAGGTCAAGACCTGCTTGCCCTTCTCACCTGGAAATACCTGAACCTGCGCTCCAGGAAAACCGCTCCCCCGGACTCTCCTGCCGGCAGAGGGACAGAGGTGGGGTCAGCAGTGCGCAGGTCCCCCGGGCCTCCCCCGGCCCCCCAGCCCAGAGCACGCACCCCTGCAGGGGTTGTCATCGTTCTCCATCCCGCTGCACAGGAACTGGCTGGTCACTGCCTGCCGCACGTCGGTCAGGTTGGGAAAGGTCTGTGTGTCTTGGGCTACAGCCTCAACACAGCGTGCCCTCTGCCGTGCGGGTGTCGAGGGAGAGAAGGATGGAATGAGCGGCCCGGCCCGGGACACTCACAGACCAGCTCGGCCTGCAGTGGGGGAGCAGCTGCCGTCGGAGGAGGAGGAGGAGGAGCAGCCCCCGGGGAGCTGCCGTGGGGGACCCCAGCATCTCCCCACAGACCTCACCTCCGTCCCTGTCTTGAGGTTAATGTTCAGTTTGCTCCCGTTCAAGGCCACAAAGTGAGCGGGGATGCTCTGTGGGCTCAGCAGCTCTGCCTCTGCGTGGGGGAGGAAGAGACCCAGACTTCCAGCCTGGGAACTGCGGACCAGCCCCGTCAGCAGCCCAAACCCAGCTCCCTGTGAACCCCTGCCCCAGGCCTCACCATGGTCCCTGCAGGTGCTGTGCTGGGGTCTCCGCAGGGCCATGTTGGCCTCCATGGTGCAGGGGAGGCAGATGGGCCTGGGGACAGGAGCAAGTGTCACGCTGGCCCGCCCTCCGTGCCCCCTTGGGCCTGGCCAGAGCACTCGCCCAAGGGCGGCCCCTGCCCCACACGGGCACCTGGCGTGAGAAGACATCTGCACTCTCTGGGCCAACTTGAGCAGTGCGATGTCGTCACCGTAGAACTCCAGGACACCCTGGCTCCTCTTCGCATAGACGTCAAACCCCGGGTGGATCACCTCCTCCTCAATGAGGAGCTCCTTGCCCCATGGGAAGCTGGGGTCCCCTGGGAACAACGCTTCGGATTAGGCTGGACCAGCGTCCCCAGGGTGGCCAGGCTCTGGGCCAGGCGGGCAGTTTGGGCTGCAGGGCCAGGAGGCTGGCGGGCCCCTTACCCACGATGACCCTCCACAGGGAGCGGTCCTCGGCCTGGTGGAAGCAGTGCGCCGCCGTCAGCACCCACTGGTCGGAGAGGAGGGCCCCGCGGCAGGTCTCCTGGCTCCGGGGCTGCAGGGAGCAGGCGGTGTTCAGGAGCGGGGCGGGGCGGCCTTCACCCTGGGGCCCGGCCGCACCCCCCTCTAGTACCTTGATGGTGACGTGCCAGGGCGTCCTCTCCTGGTCGGAAGCATTGGCTGACATGTTCCCCACGCCGCAGATGGTGTGGGTGAGCGCGGAGACGTCTGCAGCAGGGGGCGCGGAGGAGAGTGAGGGGCAGAGCCCCCAGCCGGGCCTCCTCCCGTCCGTCCCCAGCAGAGGGCGGCAACGCACCCAGCACGTGCTCGAAGACCTGGCGCAGGGCCTGTGCGTCGGGCAGTTTGAAGGCGTGCTTCTCCCCGTCCTTCTGGGAAGCCAGCTCGTTCAGCTCTCTCCAGTCCACGTCCAGGTTGCCCACCCCGATGGCATAGATGTCTGCAGGGGAGGAGGGAAGTCACCAGAATCCTGGCTGGGCCACCCCTAGGCGGAGGCTGGAATAGGCTTGTAAATTTTATTTATTTATTTATTTATTTATTTATTTATTTATTTATTTTGTTAGCAGGGATTAAACTCGGGCCCTTGCGCTTGCGCAGCAGGCAGCAAAACCACTGAGCTAAATCTCTGGCCCAGACGCTGGAATTGGAACTCTGCCTGGAAGACCCGAGTGGGCGGACTTCGCCTGTGCGGCCTCGCTTCCTCCTCAGCCTGGGCTGCTCAGCTGCCCTGGCTCAGCTCCCCCGCCCCGCGCTGTGCACATCCAAGAGCTCCCTTCCCGCCTGTCTTGGCTCGCAGACCCGTTCTCAGCAAGGCCCTCCCTGTCTACACTGGCAGCCTCCAACCCACAGCCCACCCTGCTTGTCACCCACCACCCCGAGCTCCCCAGTTCCCCTTTGATGCTCGGCCTGCAGGAGGTGGAACTGAGTTCCCGGAAGGCCCTGCTCAAGCCCTAAGCCCCGGGACCCGGGGACCCGTGCTGTTTATCATGGGGCTATGGAGGGTGGGGTGACCGGCAGTGTAGCCTGGTGGTCGAGGGCTCATCTAGCTTTCCCCGGCCTTCCCGCTCCTTTTTAATAAAGAGTTTCAGCGTTTGATCCTGTCTCAGGTGCTAAGCAGGGAGGGAGAGGGTTTGTCTTCCTTGTACAGGAGGGTTTTAAAGACATATTGTGTGTGAGGCCTTGGGTTCACTCTCCAGCACTGCCAAACGCGCACACAGACATGCGCGCGCACACACGCACACACACACACACAGAATTACCCAGATGGGGGGTGGGTTGCAATGGAAAGAAGACCCAAGGAGAAAGTCTTTGAAGGCTCAAAACCAGCTGCCAGCCAGGTGCAGAGCCACACACCTGCAACCCCAGGTACTCGGGAGGCTGAGGCAGGAGGGTCGAATTTGAGCCCCACCTGGGCAGCGTAGCACTGTGTGAGATCTTGTCTCAAAGTGGAAATGGTTTTATTTATTTATATTTTTGGTACCAGGGATCAAACTTGGGACCTTGCGCTTTCAAGACAGGCACCAGAACCGCTGAGCTAAATCCCCGGCCCAAAGTGGAAATATTTTTAAAAGGCAGAGGATGCAGCTTAGCACCAAGGCCCTGGGTTCAATCCTCAGGACTGAAGAGAAAAGCTAATTCTTTTCTGGGCAAAGCTGAGTGCAAGTTGTGTTGGCCCTGAGCCCAAGGGATTTTCTGTCAGGGGCTGGGGAGGCCAGAGTGTGGGTCAAGCAGCTGGCACACTGCTGAGTGCAGAACAGCAGGGATGGCCCCACAGGGAACCAGGTTCTGCTTCCTGGAGCGGTTCCTGAAATTCGAGCCAGCAGGCGGTGCCCACGCAGGCCGAGCTCTTGAGCAGCTCTGAGTCCTGCCTCGCTCGCCTGCCCATCCTCAAGAGGGCCTGGCTGCCCCTGCAGTGAGGAAACTGCCCACGGCCACACCGAGGAGCCGGCCGCGGCAGGGACTCCACACACTCTGCATGAGCCTAGCCACCTTCACACAGGACACAGCGACAGGAGACAGGACCACGGTGGGCACCGTGCCCCGGGACGTGCGGCAGACTCACCCAGGTAGTCCATCCTATCCTGCCTGATGTTCAGGACGTCTTTGATACTGTTGACTGCCGGCTTGGGAGAGCCGCCCACGTTGGACTTCCCTAGAACAGAATGTGAAGAGCGCGTCTGGGTCCTCAGAGGTCCCCGCAACCCCAGGAGCACGGGAGGAAGCATTTAGCCCGGGAACCTCAACAAGGCCACCTCAAAATATACCGTTCCCTGAAATGTGCTACACTCAGACACTGGACCCGGCGCTTCAGACTTTCTCTCACTTAATTCTCATGAACTCCCCCAAAGGTGGGTAACCCCGTTTCACAGACCAAAAAGCTAAGACCTGGAGGAGCGACACCATTTGGACAAAATCGAGAGGTCAATGGCAGAGGCCTAGGCCGCTCTGGGCAGCTACCCCATCTGTAGCCCTCACTTCCGCCCAGGACCCTGACCCCCTAGCGCCAACTTCCCTCCAGGGCCGAGAGGGCTGAGACCCCTACCGCAGAGCGCTGTGACACAGACCACTCCACAGGACCGAGCAGGGAGAGGAGGGGCGCTGCTCTGCCTGTCGTCCTTGCGATCATCATCATCAACACTCTTTCCACTTTACAAGTAAGAAACTGAGGCCTGCACTTGCTTGGGGAGCACACATACTAAATGTGGAACAAATGGATGAAACGGTCCATATTTTTCTAATGTTCCGTAGCACAGGAGGATAACTGTGGTGGACAACGATTCATAGACTATTTCAAAGTAGCTGGTAGAAGGCCAGGTGTGGTGGCGCACATCTGGAATCCCAGCACGCAGGAGGCTGAGGCAGGAGGACTGCTCTGCCAGCCCTCACAGACCTGATACCTACCGTCCGTCAGAAGGATGATGGCATGTCGGATTTCCTGCCAGGCCGCTGTCTGCATGCCCAGGCGCACCATCTGGTTATTCATCATGAGGTAGATGCTATTGAGGGCCTCGTAGATGTTGGTGCCAGTTCCGTTTTCATGATCTGGAATATGCCACAGGAAGGCCCCTAAGACACTTCCTCCTGACACTCAATGCGGGGAATCTCAGCTCTGCCAGCCTCTAGAAATCCGAGTTATCAGACTGCTTTGATAAACCTGAGCCCTTGCCATCCTGAGATTTGCCTCTTTAAACGTCGAAGGTCTTTCCACCTTAGAGGTGTTCATTCACTGCCGCGCATGGTGGTGCACACCCGTCATCTCAGCACTCAGGAGGCTGAGGCAGGACAATTGCCACAAGTTTGAGGCCAGCCTGGGGTATATAGTGAGACCATCCCCAGAAACAAAAAGAAATGCTCAGTCCCAAACCTCTCAAAGGACCCACGATTCAGAGATGAGGTTTCCAAAGAACTTAGGTTGTTAGATATCGGCCGCCAGGTGATTTTACATGGCTCGCAGGCAGACGATGTCGGGGAGACTAACTGGGGACCCTGAAAACAGGGCCGTGGGGCAGCCATCTGGAAGGAGTGGAGCCAGAGTCTGCGCCATGCCGCCCAACTTGTGCAGCTCAGTGAGCCATGAGCTGGGGCAACGGGGGCCCCACCAGGACCCAGGCTTGGGAGCTGCCCCAGAGCCTGGGGACTCCAGTGCCCACAAGAGCCACTTCTGCCCAGAGTCTGTCTGTGGGCACCGGGCCCTCCTCATCCTCCCTTCTCAGCACCTGCGTGACAGCTGTGCCTTTAATTTTACCCCTTGTTTTGAGACAGGGTCTCACTCTGTAGCCCAGGCTGGCCTCAAACTCTCAAACCTCCTGGCTCAGCCTCTGGAGTGCTGGGATGGCAGGCGTGGACACTACGCCCAGCTGGCAATCACACACACCTTTATAGTTGGCATTTTCCAGTCTGTAGGTCACTTCCGTCACATCCCGGGACTTGTCAGACAGGACAGACATGATAATCTTGGGCTTGGAGGCAAAGGTGACAATGGCCACACTGATGTTGATCTCGAAGCTGAAGATCTGTGGGCAGCAGGTGAGGGGGGTGTGAGGGGCCCCAGGACCACAGGGGAGAGGGGAAGGCAGTGAGGTGGGGCCCTGGAGAAGGCAGAGCGCCTGGACCAAGACTGACAGGGCCAGGCCTTGCGAAGAGACTGCAGCTTGCAAAAAGCTAGGGAAGTAATATTTGCGGAACATCTGGTTTTGGTTTTGGTTTCGAGGCAGGGTCTTGCTGTGTAGTTCAGCCTGGCCTTGAACTCACTATGCAGCCAGGCTGGCCTCAAACTCTCGGCAATCCTCCTGCCTCAGCCTCCCCAGTGCTGGGATTACAGGTGTGCACCATCATGCCGGGCACAACACAGGCGGCACAAGCCCTGGGTTCAATCCCCAGCCACAGCTGGAAGGAAGATCCATCTGTCTACAAGAACTGTTGTGAAATACCTCATTATGAAACCATGTGCTGTCCAGGAACTGAAACTAGCGTTTCAGACTCTTGTACTCGCGCAGCCTGTCAGTGAAAACGTTTTAGGGACGTGCCCCAACACAGGCATACATGTGCAGTTGTAAATGTTACACGTGCTTCACTATTCAAACGTGTACTTGTCTAAACGCACACAAAATTTGAAATTCTAAAAGGAAAATAATACTACATTATTAATTTAATTCAAATTAAATCATCCAACAAGGGCACCAACATTCCTCCCCCACACCTCCCAGGGGCTATCTTGTTACCATCTATGGGAGACCAGGGCTCTTGGCGATGAATTCCTGGAAAACAAGACCTTAGCCCTGTTCATCTTTTGTTTTGTTTTGTTTAAGACGGGGTCTTCCTTCGTAGCCCAGGCCGGCCTGGAACTTGCGGTGACCCCCCTGCCTTAGCCTTCCAAGTTCTGGGATCACAGGTGTGCGCCCCCACGCCCGGCTCTGCCCCGTTCATCTTTGGGGTCCCCGAGCACCTGCGCCCAGCACCGTGCCTCCCGGGTAGCAGTGACCCCAAAGTCCGCTGTGGAATGAAAACTACAATCATGAGTGAATGAATGACCCCGCACGGCTTGGCTCTAATCCGGGCCTGCGCAAGGGACTGAGAAGGAGCGGGGGAGGCGAGGCTGAGGCGGGAAGGGGCCCCAGCGTCCGGCGCCTGACCCTGTCCACCATGGACACCGCGCTGTCCTTGAAGACCTCGAAGTCCCTCTCCGACACGCTCTGCGAGGCGTCCAGCAGCAGGTAGAGGTTCAGGTGCCCGGAGCGCTGGATCTGGATCCTGCGGGCCACGCTTCCTGCGGAGAGCGCGGGAGGGAAGACGCTGCAGCCCCGCCTCCCCAGCGCCCCCTCCCGGCCGCTGCCGCTCACCCTCCTGCGTCCGCGTGGGGTTGGTGGCTCCGAGCAAGTGCGACAGCGAGGTGCCCAGGGCGGGGGCCACGTCCTCGGGGAGGTCGTAGGAGTAGGGCTCTGCGGGGACAGCCGCGTCAGCCGGGGCCGGGGCCGGGCGCGCCCCCCCCCCCCCGGGGACGGCCCGGCGACTCACGGCGGCAGACGGGCTCCGAGCCGCTCCAGACCCCGCTGGCCTGGCACTCGCGCTGCGCTGACCCAGTGAGCACCAGGCCGGAGGAGCAGCTGTACCTGACCTTGTCCCCGAAGCCGAAGCGGGACCCCGTCCGAAGTGCGCCCACCGAGACGCCGGGGTCGGGGCAGTGGCCAGCTGTTGACAGACAGGCGAGCAGGTGAGCGAGGGAGCCCGGAGTGCCAGGCCCGGGCCGGGGTCGCTGCACACTGGGAAGGACGGAGGCTGCAGCCCTCCGTGGCCTCCATCGCGCTGAGGCATCCCAGCCCGCCCGGGCCCCACTCGTGTCTGCTGGGCCCCAGGAAGACTGGCTCGGGAGCCGCCCTCTGTGCTGATGAGCTCACTACACCTACACGCCCAGCAGAAGGGCTGGATCAGACAGGATGTGGAGCACCCAGGACACTGCTACGATGCTACAGGGTCGGTGCAAGAAACTGTTTATCAGCCACGACTAAAGCTAAATATGTGCCAGCATATCTGCAATGCCATGTGTAGGTCATTTACTCAAAAGAAACAAAGTGCACCAAAGGCCCACGTGAGAATATCCTTAGAACTTCTCATAAATAGCCCCAAACTGGAAGTAACCCAAATTCTCATCCACAGAAGAATGAATGAATAATTTATAATACATTTGTCCGATGGAATAGTACACAGCAGTGAAAAAGAATAAAGCACTGATACACTGAGTGACACAGATAAAGCTCACAGGCAGAGCATTGAATAAAGGAAGCCAGAGGTGAAAGGGCACATCCTGCATGGTTCCATTTATATGAAGTGTAAGACTATGAAGTGTAAGCTCAGTGCATCTATACAGGCCAAAGTCAGAAGAGGGGTTACTGGGAGGGAACGGACTGGAAGGAGCCTCTGGTGGCGTGGGCCGTGTTCTCTGTCTGGGCAGTGACCACACAGGTGGACACAGGTGCAAAAGCACCCCAGGCTGAAAACAGGATTTACTCCCTTTGGGACTGGGAGTGCAGCTCCGTGTCACAGCAGGTGCGGTGCGAGGCACAGGTGAGGCCTGCAGCACCGCATACAAAGGTTTGCATTTACTGTAGCCAGGCTTTCCATCGGTTCAAAACCAAAGCACATTCGTGCCTCGGTCAGTAGCCACTTAGGAAAGACCCAAAGCCATGAGTGCCACATGGGCCACCTGGCAGCCTGGATTCCGAGTCACACGAAGCCCCGGCAGGTGTGGCTGAGGAGTCCTGGGACTGCAGCACTAGCACTGCCGGGCAGAGCCCTCACTGCTCACAGGGCAGCAGGGACCCTTCGAAAGTGCACACAGGGTTTACCAGGTGCCAGCGGCTGTTCTAGATGCTGACAGCAACATGGCCCATTTTACAGAAGTGAAAACTGAGCCCTAGAGAGGTTCGATAACCTGTCGGGAGCTGACCAAGCCCCCCCGCAGGTCAGGCCCTGAGGCAGCAACGCCCTCCCGCCCCGTCCTCCCTGTGATATCTCTGAGGCCAGGCACAGGCGCTGCACGCAGCATCCGGGAAAGCCAGACGCCGCCGAGCGCGAGCGCGGAGCCTTTGCCTGCCTCGCAGCCGCAGCAGAGCAGGCAGGACGCTCACCCCCGTGGTCGCACACGGCCGTGTCTCCGTCCCACAGGCCGTTGGGGCGACAGCGCCGCACTGGGGAGCCGCGCAGCGTGAAGCCATCGTCACACTCGAAGCTCAGGTTGCTGCCCACGGGGTGGACGCCCAGCCGAGGGGTGTACACGCCGTTCTCAAAGACGATGGGGCCCGGACAGCGGACAGCTGGGGGGAGAGAAGGGGCGTGGGACGGCCGGAGACCCTGGGCTGGGCTCCGAGCGGTGACGCTGCAGTGGGACGCGTGCCACGGCCCGCTGGCGTCAGGACACGGAGGGGAGCAGGGGCCGGTGCTGCTCGGGCGACTCCAAGGGCTCAGCCTCACTGCGGGTGAAGGGCTGCTCCCTCCCCGCCCCTCCCGGACCCTCGGGTGTCAGGGGACTCTGGGGTCACTCGGCGTCCGTCTGGAATGGTCAGTTATACGCAAGGAGTGGCCCCGAGCCTTGGTGTCCCACAATCCCCGCCAGAGCCCACCCCTAGTGGGCAGTCAGCATTTTCTGGGATTGATTTCTGGTTTTGCTTTTGGGGGATGGGCATTGAACCCAAGGCCTGACGCATTTAGCAAGTGCTCTGTCACTGAGATGCATCCCCAGTCCTTTCTGATTTTTTATTTTGAGACAGTATCTTGCTAAATTCCCCAAGCTGACCTCAAACCTGCGATCCTCCTGCCTCAGCCTCCCAAGTAACATTGTCCATTTTGAAAGGTCCTCTGCAGCTGCAGCGCGGCCGACCCTCCCACGCCCCGGCAACTCCTAAATAAACGCCCCGGGCTGACCCCGGCAGGGCGCCCGGCAGAACTCCGGGGAGCCTCACGTCTGCAGGTCGCCTTCGCCTCCGTGCGCCGGGGTCTCGGGGTGGATCCTGGGCTCCGCCACCGCCCATTGCTCGCGCACAGCCTCGAGGCCGGAGACGGGTAGCTGCCCCGGGGGCAGACGTAGGTGAGGAGGCTCCCCGGGGCCCAGCCGCGGCTGAGGGTGAAGGTGCCGCCCGTGATGTTCACGTTCTGAGGGCAGGAGGTCGCCGCGGCCGCCAGGCCTGTGCGCGGGGAACAGCGCGGAGGAAGCGCGCCCGTGAGCAGCGCAGAGCCCGCCTCGCCCCCGGGCCCGCGCTGCCCGCCGCCTACCTGCGCACAAGGGCAGCAGGCAGCGCAGAGCCACCCGCCGGTCCATGCCGTCCGCTCGGGCGAGAGCCAGCGGAGTGAGAAGGTCGCGGGACTTCCCGAAAACCAGCGCTGGCTCTGCAGCGCTTCTGCGGCCAGGAACCAAGACTGGGTGGGAAGGGGTGGGCTCTCGGCACAGAGCTCGGCGGGGATTGGGGCGAGCTTGGGGCGAGCGAGCCAGGGGCAAAACCCCCGCCCGCCTCTGCCGCCTTCCACCGGCCAGCAGGCCGCACACTCACGCTTCCCACACTCACACTCACGCTCCCCACAGTCCCCACACTCACACGTGCCCTCGCAGCACACACAGCACGCGCGCTCAGGCACACTCGCTCTTGCATGAACTCTAAAGCACACAAACCACCCAGGATGTTGCAAAACATTTCATTAAAGTGACATTTTCGTTCTCTTTTGGGTTTTGCCAAGTGGGTTTTATTTCCTATAAGCTTCCAGGGAATTGAGACCAGTTTCTCAGAATTTCTTGATCAAAAAGAAGATTCACAATCCTTTTCTTCCCTGAAATTCTATCCTGGAGAGAATCTAGGGATAAAAATAAAATCAGCACTTAGTTATGAAGATGAGAAAGATGTTTAGAACATTTTAATGGAAAGTCCAGTAGGTAAATCCCCAACTTACAAAATAAATCTGGGGTTGATTACTCCATGGAGTAAAAGTGTTTTGGAATTTGGGATGTTAACTGGTACTTCTATGAAATGCAGCTAGAAAAAAACTCTAAGCTGGTTTCTCTCTCCCCTCTCTCTTCTCTTCTCTCTCTCTCTCTCTCTCTCTCTCTCTCACCTCCTCCCCCCTCTCTCTTTCTCCCTCCCTCCCTCTCTCTCTTTCTCTCTCTCTCTGTCTCTGTCTCTGTCTCATATTTTGAGGCAGGAGCTTGATAAATTGCCCAGGCTGGCCTGAACTTGCATTCCTCCTGCCTCAGCCTCCTGAGGAGCTGGGATTACAGGTGTGTGCCCCTGCACCCACATAGATTTTACCACTTGATGGGAGGGGTGGCAAAGTCACACTGCATGGGGCATACACACCAGAATAGATCTGTGCCCGTATTTTACAAGTCCCCATGACAACAGACATTTGGGGATCATCTGTTACTAGGGCATGATGAAGCCTAACCTGACCAAATACTTAGGCCACTTAGTTTTTGAGTTAAGCCACCAAGCTCATATCTAGCAGCTGTTTTTAAAGAGTCACAGAACATAAAATCAACATTAAGCCAGGTGCAGTGGTGCATCCCTGTAATCCCAGAACCTGGGAGGCTGAGGCAGGAAAATCACCATAAGTTCAAAGCCATCCTGGGTTACAGTGAGTTTGAGGCCAGCCTGAACTACAGAGAGAGACCTTGTCTCAGAAAGACAAACAGCCGGGGATTTAGCTCAGTGGTTCCAGCGCCTGCCTCGCAAGCGCAAGGTCCCAAGTTCAATGCCCAGTACAAAAAAAAACAACCAACCAAACAAAAAAATCGATTCAAAATGCATCAAAGACCTCGGTATAAGACCTGAAATTTTGTTTGTTTGTTTGTTTTTTGTTTTGGTACTGGGGATTGAACTCTGGTCCTTGGGCTTGCGCAGCAGGCGATGAAACCACTGAGCTAAATCCCCGGCCCTAAGACCTGAAATTTTGACACTGCTGGAAGAAAACATGAGGGAAACACCTACAGCTGCAGACACAGGCACAGACTTCCTGAGCAGCACGCTGGTACACAGGAAGTAACAGAATCAACAAGCGGTGCTACGTTAAATTAAAAAGTTTCTACACAGCAAAGGAAACAACCAAGAGAATGGAGAGACAGCACCAAAAGGGAGATTTTATATATATATATGGTGGAGTATTATTTAGCTGTAAAGAAGAACAAAATTTTGTTATTTGTAGGAAAATGGATAGAACTGAAGATCATTGTGTTGTCTGAAATAAGCCAGCCTCAGAAAGACACAAATGATTTGTTTTCCCCATATGTGGAATCTTAAAAAGATGAAATGAAAGCAGAAGGAAGACTATTATTAACAAGAGGAAGGGAATAAGGGGGAGGGGGAGGGGCATAACAGAGGGTAATGGGGGTGGATAGGATCAAAATATACAAAGTGAAACCCAATGCTTTGTAAAAATAATAGGTGCTAATAATAAGAGGGGGAAGAAAGAAAGCAAGAGAGCAAAAAGAAAGAAAGGAAAGAAAGAGAGCGGTAGGCCCAGGGGTACACACCTGTAATTCAGTACCAGGTACATGGGAGGCTGAGGCAAGAGGACTACAAGCCTAGAGAGTTTATTGAGAAGCTATCTCAAAATCAAGTAGAAAGGGGTAGGGATGGGCCAGGGATTTAGCTCGGTGGTTCCAACGCCTGCCTCACAAGCACAAGGTGAGTTCGTTTGATCCCCCGTACCAAAACAAAGAGGGGGATAGGGATGTAGCTGAGTGAGGTCTTGGGTTCAATACCTAGACCTGGGGTTAAAAAAAAGCTCTTTATTTATGAGTTTCCCCCAATATCTGCTAAGTCCACTTGCCAGAGTGGGGCGGAATCCATTTCCTTCTTCCTAAAGTAATAAAACTGGCACATTTCCTGGGCAGGCGCTCAAGGAGAGGCGAGCACTCCTCTGTTTCCCTTTCCATCCCCACTGCTGAGGTGAGGACAGTGCAGTGGAGTCAGAGCAGCCACGCGCAGCTTTCCTGTGGGAGACCCCAGGAAAGATGGGGTCACACATCGAAGACAACAGAGCAGCAAAACTGAAGCAACCCTGTCCCCAGCCCCACAGGGCTACGGGACCCGGCTGCTTATGCTCAGGGGGCTGGGATAAAGAGATCCCAAGACACAGGGCAGAAACATCCTTCTCTCTCACGGGGGAGCCTGGCCTAAGGCGACAAGGCTGGTGGGGAGGCGCCCAGACGGCAGCCTCACCCAAGACCCAGGTTCCTTCCTCTTGTGCGCGTCCTGTGCGCATGGCCCAAACAGGGCCTCCGCCAAGTCTGCATTTCAGTTCCAAGAATTGGTGTGAGGGAGGAAGTAGGGGACGAGTCATGATGTAAAAGTTCCACCCAGCTCCTCCATTCACATTCCATTGGCAGAAGCCAGGCATGGTAACACAGGCCTGTAATTGCAGCATTCTAGGAGGCTGAGGCAGGAGGACCCTAAGTGAGTGACTTAGCAAGACCCAGTCAAAAACACTTTTTAGATTAAGGAAGAAAATAGTGGAGTGGTAAACGGCAACAACTCAGTCTGTCTGAGATTTGGAATCCAGATAGTGGAAAATAACAACACAGGGAAGAAGAAACAAAGAGAGAAGTAGATCCCTGGAACCAAGGAGGATCTGACAGGAAAATTTAAACCTACAGAGAAATTTAAAAAACAGAACACAACTCAGGAAAGGAAGGGGCAGTTTGCACTTTCTCTTCAGTTCCTGGCTCATGGCTCACAGGAAAGGGAGACCGAGTCTACAGAGATAAAGTAAAAGCTGGGTACTCCAGAGGGCTTCAGGGAGAAAAGAGGCCATTGGACAGCCTGGTAGGTGCTGTGAGCTACAGGGAGAGCAGAGTCCTTCAACAGGGAACAGCTAGTGGTGATGCCAGTCCAAGTCCTTGCCATATCCCTGGAGTGTTTGGTCAGACGCCATTCCAGGGAAGGGATGATTGTTTGAACGAGGACTCAGAGCAGTCACCAGACAGCTTCACTTCAGGGCTCCCAGGGTTACATTCCCACAGTGACTGGGTGAGAGGTGGCCAGCCTCAGTCAGGGTACAGGCTGGAAAGCGACCCCTTGAGAGGTCTGAGTTAAAGAACACAGGGCCCACCACCAAGGCCAGAGGCCAGGCTCAGCCTGAGTTGCTCTGGATTTGAGAGTCAGGCATGGCACCTTCACCCTAATCCCACTGCCTGCCAGCGCCTGCATCCAGCATGGATCTGGGGTCTGACTGCCTTCTTCATCTACCAGAGTGAGCAGTTAGATCACATCTTGACCTGATCACTGCTCCAAAATTGTAGATCTTGATTAAAAAAAACACACATTCAAAATCATAAAGAAATTTCCTTCTTATCTATTTCTTTTTCTTTGTGTGAGTGGGGGCACCTTTTGTTGTTGTTGTTGTTGTTTCTTCTTTCTTTTCCTCCTTTCTTCCAGCTTATTGAGATTTGAGGGATTTTCCTTTATCCTTTTTCCTTGTTTCTTAAGTCTTTTTTATTTTTTTCTTTATTTTTTTCCTCTTCTCCCTTTTAATCTTTCATCCTTTAAGTTTTCTTCTCTCTTTCTGATATAATTTCTTTCTTTTTGGGGGTGTTTTCTTTTTTGGTTTTGATTTTGCTTTGGGGGGGGGGTTTGTACCAGGGATCGAACTCAAGTCCTTGCGCTTGCGCAGCAGGTGGCAAAACCACTGAGCTAAATCCCCGGCCCTTGTTTTGTTTTTGAGACAGAATCTCGGTATGTAGTTCAGAAAGGCCTTGAACTCACTATGTAGCCCAGGCTTGCCTTGAACTCAGAGCAATCCTCCCTCCCCAGCCTCCCAAGTCCTGGGATAATGGGCATGTACTAACATACTTGGCTTCCATCTGTTTCTTTTATCTTCTATCTCTCATTAGTTTTTTCTCTTATCTTTACCTAATTCTATAAAGAACCCTTTTCTCCCCAATAGGATCCTTTATATCACTACTCTTTCTTCCTTCTCATATCATATAGTTTAAATTTCAAATTTTTCCTCTTGCATTCCCCTTTTCCCAACCTCCTATATCTTTAAAGCTTCGTTAAACCCTAAACAATAACAACTTCCAGCCTCATCTTATGTATACTGCAAAACATTCCTTCAAAATTGACAGAGAAATAAGGTATTTCCATGACATCTCAAGAAATCCATGATCACCAAGCCAACATTACAAAAAATTCTCAAGGATATCCTAAAAAGAGATAATGAGGGCCGGGGATTTAGCTCAGTGGTTCTGCTGCCTGCCTCAAAAGCATAAGGTCCCAAGTTCAATCCCAGTACCAAAAAAAAAAAGACAACAAAAGAGACAATGAATCCAACGATGCTAATAAATCAGAAAGAATGAATACACCTAATGAGCACCTAAGCAAAAGAAAAATAAAATAAGGAAATCAGCAACAGGTAAATAATGGAATGACAGGAATAATCAATAACTTTCAGTAACAACTCTCAATGTGAATGCTCTCAATTCCCCAATAAAAAGACACAGATCAGGAGAATTGATCAGGAAATAAAACCTAGGGCCGGGGATTTAGC